ACACAGACACACATGTACATACACACACACTCACACACACACACACACACACACACACACAGTGACACACACACACACACACTGTTGCACATGCACACTTTTTCAGGTCTTTGCATTCTGCCAAACTTCACTACATGCATGCTTACACATTTCCTCATGCTACCTACATACAAAAAAGGAAAGGTTCTAGGCTGTCCGATATAGTGATCGATGCCCAAAAGCAAAGCTACTTACAGCAAGAAGAGGAGGGAGAATTTGTAATTCTGAGTTGCATGTATTGCTGTCGGATATTCGCCCACTTGTTCGTGAAACTCAGCCTTGCAAAACAATCTTCCTCCTCCTCTTCTTGTTGCTGACTATCGTCTTGTCCGGTGTAAAGGCCGCTATTTAAGCACTCATAATTTGCCGTAAAACACGTCGGTGCGGCTTTTACTACCAAGGTCAAATGAAGCGTGGAATACAGGAGAGATGAGGTCTGCACTCCATGGCCATAAACCTGGGTCCGGTGTATACTCCAGTACATGTAGTAGTAATTCAGAGCTTAAAGGAAACGGACATAATTATGGATACGAGTTAAGAGTAACTCTCCGTCACTGCAACCAGATACTATAATATACAGTAAGAAAGTGCAAAACTAGGCACAAACTGACAGAGTACTGACATTCGACATCCTGACACCTAGCTTCAACACATCTCCGTAGCGCTAACCTACAGCCTTATTATGTCATTTTCCTTTCTACATTAATTATTGGCTCCACATCCGAGTTTCAAATTCAGAGTTTCATACACAACCATGCAATCATTCTACACTTTGCCTGCACGGCACTTTGAGCCTCTTTGCACACTGGGTGCATCCCTCTAGAAGTTACATTTATGAAGAACTTTGCTCTTCAGTGGTTTGAGGTAAAGACACAAACGGGAAAAGTCTGAAGAAGAAAAATGACTATCATCACCAGGTCTCGAATCAAGGACCTTCGCTTGTAGCCCGCGATGCGCTACAACCACTGAGGTATGGTGTAGCCGTCATCCCAGCAGAGACCGCTCAACATTTTCTTCAGATTTCGAGACTCAGGTGGGCTTTAAAGAAAAACAAGTTTCAACGAGCTGCTTACTTGGCACGCAGACTGAGACTTTGAAGCACGACCTCCTCTGGACATTTCCACTAGTGGCTCCCAAGCAGTATTCGGGTTCGTTGTTAGCGAGGCTGACGTTTTTAAAGACGAAATGGAGGTCTTCGCCGCCCTCGGCCGCTCTGGAGCGGAGGCGGTAATGGAACTGGGGCGACGTGAACCGGGGCGTTTTGGGATAGGACACGGTCAAGTCATGGCCGGCCCCACGGATTACGCACACGTAGACGACGTCTTGTCCGATGAAGGTGCAGTTTGGCGTGATGGGATACCTCGCACAGGACACCGTAAACTCGGCTGAGAAGGGGAAAAACACCACACGTGCATGCACACACAAATGCACGCACACGCATCCAGCATTCATACCGGGCAAAAATTAACACAATACAGTTGAACATCGATTATCCGACCACCTCTGGGCAGACAACTGTCAGGCGGTGTTCAGATAAGGCAAATGTTCCGGATAAGAAAAAACTGTCACTCACACACTTTCAGTGGTTATTACTAGCCGCACGACCTTTTTACTTTTTACTTTTCAAAATTTTCGTATTTGTTGAATGGCTCACTACATGCACAGTGCGTACTCAACGGCACGTGCGCCCAAAAAAACTGTTACGGATAATGGAATGGCCGGATAGTCGATGTGCGGATAATCGATGTCCAACTGTAGATTAAAATGCAATACAACATACGTTATACAGAATCGATACACATACTGTCCGATTGAGCATTTAGAATGAGTGACGGAACCGTTACCTCTGGTACACGTAAACTAGTCACTTTTGGGAAATCGTTATATATATGCGCCTCGTTAGAATAATGGCTTTCACAGTACACAGGGGAAGAAATCAGGAAATGCATGTGTAAATTTTCAAACGCAAAGCAAAAAAACTTCAAAATCAAAACTTCATACAAAAAAATAAATTATTAGCAACAAAATCAATCACTGAACTCAATTTAAAGGAGAAAACCAGACCAAAAAAGCATGCACACCGGTAGTATCCGCCAATCACGTTTTGTGTGTGTGTTTTAACCCTTTCAGCACGCATCACGTATATGTACGTGATGGTACATGTAACTGGCCCACGGATCACGTATATATACGTGATGCACGTATATATACGTGATGCGTACAGTGAAAATGAACGTACTAATGCTGATATGGAGACCACCTCGACAGGCCTTCCAGCCTGCCGCTAGGGTTTACCAGGTGTTAGCGGCCGTCGTGAGTTCCCTTCGGGAACGGACACGATAATTTACTTTTTTTTTTTTTTTTTTTGTGGACAGAACTGCGCTTCGCCCTTTGTGGACAAAATTACAAATTAAATGCCAGTGACCCTATGAGTGCATTCTACAGGTTAGTACGTACCTGCAGCCTGTGATGTTGCCATAGCGACCAGGGTCAATACGACCAGCCCTAAGCTGGCGCCACGGGTCCACGGGTCCACGCGTACAGCCTGCGAGATGGGAGCAACACAAGCAGAAACCATCATGGGACAGTCAAGGAAACCTGCATGCCTAAACCTGCCTAAACCGACCGCTCGGGGGACGTTACAATGTGCTCCCCGGGTACCACATTGCATGCAAGCTTATCCATCTAGGATCATTTGACTGGAAAAGACATCCCTTGATCCTGGCTATAATGGTCCTCTTCGACATCTGGTCGCCTGATCAGAGTGGTCGCCTGATCAGAGTGGTCGCCTGGACAGGTTTTTACTGCACTACTACAGTAGCACATAATTCTTGAGTCGGCCAGACGAGATTACACGTTCCTTGCAGACATCAGCACAACTTGACTTAAAAATCTCAGATTTTGAGTTTTTTGCACTCCATACATAATTTCATTTTCATTATTTTATTTGTTTGGTGAGACTCCCATGATAACTTACAGTCCATTCATCGGAAACTGGCCCGCTGGCTTTTGAAAGTCGGATTTGGGCCGAATTGAGGATCAAAAACCCACTTTAAATCTCAAAAATATTGGTTTTGGATCTGCTTTTCCATACATTTTGCCATGGCATACCTGTCCTAATTTTGTAAAACCTGACTGAATTTCTATTTCCCTGTTCTTGGACTTTTCTGGCCTCCAATGCAGCAAGGAGTAAATTGCACGGGTCACACAATGCAGGATGTACTGTTGTTTTCACGATAGTTGTAAAAAGTTAGGGTGCCAGTTTCCAATGAATGGACTGTAGGTATCCATTTACCTCTGGAGAATCCGTAAACAAACAAACAACAAACAACCAGTTCACCAGACCACCAGCAACACGCCACAACAGCAAGTAGGTCATCTCGACATATTTGGGTTCTCCTGTATACTAAATATGGCAACCGCTTGAACACCATTTTGAAACCTGGTCGTGGGAATAGGGAAAATTCAAATTTCAAATTCATAAAGACTAGTAGATATTTGGGGAAACAATCGACGTATAAACACACTATAACAAGAACTTTAACCAAACTTGTGAACGATCTTAACCCAACTGACGAAGCCCTCTACTCACTTCGCGCTCAGAGTATAGCACATGCACACACAAGTGGTAGATCTTACCATTTTTTGTCAGGTGTGGGGTGAGGTGAACACGATTTAGTCACTAATGTAGACCGCTGACAGTCGACTCCCTAGATTTCTATCCGAGGGAGATGATCCCCCTCCTCTTCTTCCGTGGTTGCTCTCACCCTCTCCTCAGCTCAATTGGCTGTCTTGACATGCCACGCGGTGCAGAAATAAATAATACAGAGATGAGTGAAGAGGGTAAACACATGGATCAAAGTTAAAGTGAACTACCCGGATAACCGCCGTACCTTCTCCTAAACAACTCTGCTTGGAAACACAGCCTAGAATGAAAGCTTTCTTCGGAGGACATTGCAGTTAAAGCGGGGCTGATTTCGAGCTCGTACTGGGTCGGGCAACTCACTCGGCCGATGGGTGAGCTCTCTCCGGTATCAAGGCGCATTGCGGCTGGAGCAGCCTCGGGCTGGTCGCGTACGCGACACCCAGCCGGGCACCCTACCATTATATGTGGGCCTACCGTAGACGACGCGCCCGCTTTGGGTCGCGGAAGCGGCGCGGGCAGGTGACGCTGAGGTGAGGCGCGCCCTATATAGCCACTGGATGACCTCAAAAGGCTCAGTTGGCCGACAAGTCAGCCCTTTGTACAGACGTGCGTACTCGTCTCTGTAGGACAAGAGGACGCGCCTGTGAGTGGGAGTCTTGTGTGGCCTCACCCTGGGTACAAATCCACTTGTAGGTGACTTTTTCGTGCACACCTCCGTCGAAACCAAGTGCGTCTGGCCAGAAACGGCAAATGCCAGTACGGTAGACTGCAAATTCTTTCAAAACAGTTTCCGGAAAATGAAATTCCATGGTACGGTACGAAACCCTAATTCAGCCAATCAGCAATTCCCTCAATCAGCAGTCGCTTCATGCGCATGCGCCACGATATTAGCCAATAATACTCCTTCTGCATCTTTGTACGGTGTTGAGAACTTTTTGAACCACCATTATCTATTTATTTTTTATTTTTTTATTATTATCAAGTTTTTAACAACTGCCACTGTCCGGCGTCATCTGAAGAAGCTTCCGACGTGCAAGGCATCTGGTCCCGACGGCATCCCCAACCGGGTCCTCAAGGCCCTGGCGCCATCCATAGCATTCCCTTTGTGCCATATTTTCAACATGTCATTTACCACGGGCATATTCCCTTCCGCATGGAAAACAGCGAAAGTCATACCTGTACACATGAAAGGTTCCCGCCACGAACCTGCAAACTACCGCCCTATCTCTCTTCTTCCCTGCGTGTCCAAAGTATGTGAACGCATCTTTTATGATCACTTATACAGACATGTTTCGCCGTTTCTGAGTCCCGCACAATCTGGGTTTTGTAAAGGCGACTCCACCTCCCTTCAACTGACCCGCATCGTGCAGCAGGTGTGCCAGCATAGGGATAACAGAGCGCTTGCTGGTATTTGCTTCTTTGACTTGGCCAAGGCGTTTGATACCGTCTGGCATCGAGGACTTTTGGCCAAGCTCGAGCATGCATTCAGGGTACGTAAACAACCACTCTCCTGGCTGAAATCTTATCTCTCTGGGCGTTATCAGTACGTAACTGTGCTTGGCACATCCTCGGCTGCAGCGCCAGTATTGTCAGGCGTTCCTCAAGGATCAATTCTTGGTCCCCTACTATTTATAATTTACGTAAACGATTTACCTGCAGTCTTCCCTGGAACGTCTCTGTTTGCTGACGACACGACCCTTCTCACCTCATCAGCTTCCCTCACTGGCCTGAAAAACAACTTGCGTGCTGCCATTCAGGAAGTTCTTTCCTGGATGTCGTCCTGGAGATTGTCCCCAAATCTATCAAAAACAAAGATCATGCTCTTCCCGCCCCAGCCAGAGTTCACAACCCTCATCCATGCCAACTTTCCAAATCAAATTGACATAGTGTCTTCTCACAAACACCTTGGCATTGTGATTGACTCTGCACTCTCTTGGGTACCCCACATCGAGTATATCTGTAAAAAATCAAGTAAATCCTTAGGAATTCTCTCCCCCCACTGCTCCTACCTCCCACTTTCTTGCAAGCTTCATTTTTATTTAGCCTACCTTCGCCCAATATTTGATTATGCCGATACGTCTTGTGTTGGATTATCCTCTTCCGCTGCTGCAAAGCTTGAAATACACCACAAGAAATTCCTTAAAATTCTCCTCCGTCAACCCCGCATGCTCTCATCATCCGCCCTTCATAAAATCGCTCACACAACCCCGTTATCACATGGACGCAGTGCACACCTAGCTTCTCTTGTTCATTCTATTAAGCTTGAGTTGTGCCCACCTCATCTCATGTGTTTTAATTGGTTCTCTTCTCTAAGAACTAGAAACTCGCTCTTACTCCCTCAGTGTAACTCATCCACTCTTTTGCGCTCCCCTCTCTTTATTGCTTATTCCGTTTGGCTCACTCTACCCAGAGAAGTTAAGGATCTGACCTCACTCCGCCTGTTTAAGATCCGTGCCGCCCCTTATTTACTACGACATAAATAGCTCATTATCCACATGTCCTTTGCGTCTCTGTGTTTTTCAATGTTTTTACTTGACATTATCTTTCTTTACTGAGTTGTTGTTGCTGTTCATTTTGCTACTCCTTCTTTTTCCCTCCCCAATCCTCTTCCGAGTGTCCTCTTCAAGTTCCGGCAACACCGAATTGGTTTCGGCGGAGACATCCAACAGATGTTACATCAGGTACTCATCAGGAAAGAGGATCTGCCAGCACAGAGATTCCTGTGGCGAGGGCGTCACCGTGACCGAGACCCAGATGTCATGCAAATGACAGCAATGACATTTTGGTGCCACATGCTCGCCGGCAGCCGCTCAGTATGTGATGCGAAAGAACGCCTCGGAGTTCACCGATCGGTGGCCTGACGCCGTACGGGCCATCTGTGAGAATCACTATGTCGATGACTACTATGACTCTACCGATGATGAAGAACAAGCCAGAAACCGAGTGGACCAGGTGTCGGCCATCCACGATGCTGGTGGGTTCCTCATTCGCCACTGGGTCAGCAACTCCAGAGAGCTGCTGCAGCACATTCCAGCAGAGCGCCGAGCAGTTGACGCACCGACATTCAACAGCGGCACGGAGCTGCCCATGGAGCGAGCGCTTGGTCTGAAGTGGGACCCAGAGACTGATCAATTTAACTTCCGCCTCAGTCAACGCCTCGTTGACCAAGAAGCTAAGTCACCCCGGCCAACAAAGCGACAGGCACTCCGCATGATCATGTCAGTGTTCGACCCGATGGGGTTTCTATCCTGTCATACCCTAGCAGCACGAGTCCTTCTGCAAGATGTTTGGCGCACTGGAGTTGGGTGGGACCAACCCCTACCGGACAGTCTGCTGGAAAAGTGGCGTCAGTGGTGGGAGGTCTCCGCGAGCTAAGTCACATCGTTGTACCCCGCTGCTACTGCCTGAGAATGTCAACGAGGAAGTCATGTCAGCTTCATGTCTTTGGCGACGCCAGCGAGGACGGCTTTGCAGCCGTCGAATACTTTCGAACAACTCTTGAAGACAGGACCTCTCAAGTCTCTTTCGTCCTGGGCAAGAGTCGTGTCGCCCCGTTACGGCCGATTTCCATCCCAAGGCTCGAGCTACAGGCGGCACTCATGGCTGCAAGAATAGCACGGACGGTTCTGGAAGGGCACGACCTACTCATCGACAGCACAACGCTATGGACAGATTCAATAACAGTCCTTCGGTGGATTCAGGCAGATGCCAGGAAGTTCAAGCCGTTCGTCGCCCACAGAGTCGGTGAGATCGATGAACTATCTGCAGTGTCACAGTGGAGGTGGGTGCCAACAACCCTCAATCCAGCTGATGCCGCAACGAGAGTACTGCCAGATGTCCAAGGCAGACAACTTCATTGGCTTCAGGGTCCGAAGTTCTTGCAAGCTCCAGAGGCTGATTGGCCAGAGGAGACCACACATGCGAAGGCTACTGACGTCGATGCTGATCGCCAGGAGATGAAGGCAGAGTTCACTGGAATGCACACCGTGCCAGAGCCGTTGGTCTTACCAGACGCCAACAGTTATTCATCGTGGATGAAGCTGGTGAGAGTCAAGGCATAGATGGCTCGATACGTCAAGAACCTGCGGGCCAAGGCAGCCGGAAAGCCAGCCACTGTTGGGGAGCTCCTTCCGACAGAGTTCCAAAGGGCTCAAGAGCTGTGGTGGCTCAGGACTCAAAGAGACAGCTTTGCAGGTGACGTTGCAGAACTGAAGAAAACTGGGTCTGTGACGAAAGCGAGTCGTCTGTACACTCTGTCCCCAACCATCGATGGAGTTGGTGTGATCCGCATGAGTGGACGGGTCAGGACCGCACCGAGTGGGAGGGAGCGCCATTGATCTGGATCCGGTTATCCTGCCACCAGATCACGCGTACACTCGACTCATGCTCCAACACCTCCACGATATCTGTGGTCACCAAGGACAGGCTCAGGTAGCCAGCGAGATCCGCCGACAGTACTGGATACCGGGACTACGTACTGCAGTGCGGCGCACATGGTCCGTTTGCCAACGCTGTAAGAATGATCGCTCCAAGCCGATACCTCCGCAGATGGGCAACTTGCCCGAGGGGAGAACAGCTGCTTTCGTCCGCCCGTTTACGCACTGTGGTTTGGATTACTTCGGGCCTCTGGAAGTGACAGTTGGCAGGAGACGTGAGAAGCGGTATGGTGCTATCTTTACATGTCTCACCACGCGAGCAGTTCATCTTGAGATCGCTCATAACCTAACGACCGACAGCGCTATCATGGCGATCCGAAGAATGGCCAGTCGACGAGGCTACCCGGGAGTCCTGTACTCTGACAATGGCACCAATTTCCATGGCGCCGAGAGAGAGATGCGTGAGGCCTTGCAAGACCTTGACCGGGAGAAGATTACGGGATTCCTGACGCCGAAGGGAGTGGAGTGGCGTTTCAACCCGCCAGCAAGTCCGCACATGGGTGGAGCCTGGGAGCGACTCGTTCGCTCTGTGAAAACCGCCCTGAGTGCAGTGTTACACGAGAGGTCTCCTAAAGAGGAAGTCTTAACGACCCTGTTCGCTGAAGTCGAAGCAACCCTGAACAGCCGCCCGTTAACTCATGTATCATGCGACCCAAAGGACGAGGACAGCCTGACCCCGAACCATTTTCTGCTTGGGACACCAGCTCAGACGCACCCACCAGGACTCTTCACGGAAGATGACCTCTGCCTCAGGAAGCAGTGGCGCATAGCACAGACCCTCGCAGCCCACTTTTGGCGACGCTGGCTAAAAGAATACCTGCCCTGCCTCCAAAGGAGGACGAAATGGCATGGTGCCGATCCAAGACCTGTGAAGCCTGACGACATTGTTG